TTTCTCTTTATTTCCTAGTTTCCATGCAGCTTTCCCTCTCCCAACTTCATCCTTGGCAGCAGATTTTTCTTTTTTCCCAGCTAAATACTGCACAATAAATCCTTGGCTCTTCCCATCCTGCAGCTAGTCCACTGCAGAGGCAAGCAAGCTCCTTAGGTGCTCTCTAAAGTTAGCAAATAATTGCTTTTCCTTTGGGTGCCCATTGTTCCATTTTATCCTGAGTAATTTGCGCTTGGACATGGCATATTTTGTACAATAGCATCTAATCCAGTTGGAAACTTGCAAGAGGGTGCACTACAGGTAAGTCACCCCTTAATTTGCCAAAGTGTTAGAAAACGCTGCGTATAAAGTAAAATTTTGTGTGTCACGTAACCTTCAACTCGTTCTTGTCTCTGTTTTAGGTCTTCCTGAGCAATACTACAGCCTCACGTGGTTCCTCAGCCCCATCCTGGGCCTGATCTTCACTCCGCTCATAGGCTCAGCCAGTGACCGCTGCACGCTGAGCTGGGGCCGCCGGCGGCCCTTCATCCTCGCCCTCTGCATCGGGGTCCTCTTTGGAGTTGCACTTTTCCTTAATGGCTCCGTGATAGGTAAAGAACAAGGAAATCACCTCCCTGGTTTTCTAGCAAACCTTATCCGGGCTAAGATTTGCGCATTAGAAGCAAAGAAGAGGATGTGCAGTGGTTTACCTTACGTTTAAAGAAGTCTCTGCAACACTGCAGTTGAGCTGTCCATCTGAAATATTCCCATTTCTATTTGGAAGTTACAGTGTGAGACTAAGTATTTTGCAATCATAGCTGTAACTGGTAATATACAGTTATTAATACAATGGTTGCCAGCATAATGTTTGTAGTTGCTGAGATGAATTTGGTCGATCCTTGACATGGGAAAACTGTAGCAACCTGTTCACAGGGAAATGTTTCCTGTTGTGATCCATTTTCCCTTTAATGCATATCTGGCAACACATCCTGTTTCCAGCATTATTTCAAAAATTATCTTTTCACTTTTTCTTGTTCTTTTCTTAGGCCTGGTATTGAAACAGTCCAGAACACGGTTAATATTTGTTTATCAAAAACTATGTGGGAAAACAATTTTGCCTGAGCCCCCATCAAAGCTGGTAAAAATAGTTTCCCTTGAACGTAGTTTACTACAGAGCTTAATCTACAATCTAGACTGTCTGTAAATTCAGCGTAGGAGAGGTGACAGCAAGTACATTTGGGGAAGTGTTTACATCATGGTTGGTCTGATGCAAATGAAAGGAACTTAGCACCTAATAATATCCTCTTGGCTTTCCTTTTTGTTAGATGCAGCTCTATTGTAAAAAAGTTTTACTAATTCAGGGAAACGAGTAGAACATTACCTTGGCTCAGCACATTAGATTTGGAAAGCCAGACTGAGATGCCATATGATAGCTTTTAATTTTCTGCAAATTGCGGTGGACAAACTGTTCCGATTAAAGACATTTAGCTGATGGGGTTTTTTTTGAACTTAGCCAAGCAGTAAGTATGAATGATCTGAAATTGGTGTCATTTGTACTTCGTGGTTGTTGTCTCTGCTCCAAGACTTAGCCGTGAAGTTTACCCCCACGGGGTCTTGTCTAGCTTGTTCTCTCCACCAGATCCACTGTTCAGGTTTCTTACACGCTGACACTGTCGGTGTTTTCAGCAGAAAGTAATAAATTTCTTCACCATTCAGAAAACTTGGTAAAAATGAGTGCAGGAATCATAGCACTTGAGGTTTAGATGATTTTTAGTGGCTTACCTAGTTCATCTCTTTCCATAATCATTTTCATCTGTCATATTAATGCTTTGAATGGTATTGTGAGCTTAGGGGGAGTCAGTCCTACTTTGTGCTGTTGTACTGCAGTCTGTTTTGTATCAGGCATTGTGTGAAATGTCAGGATGCTGTCAGCAGAGCTTATGACTCCTAGATGTGGTACATATTTTTGCTTCTCCTCCTTCACTATGGCTGTCTTTTATAAAAACAGCCTTCAGCATTTGAAGAGGAATGCATGCAAGGAAAATGAAATAATAACCAATGCTTTCAAAGGGTTAGGAGGTGCTTTAAAAAAGCATTCTGAAAAACAAACCTCAGTTTTCCAAGAGCCAAAACGTATCTTCTATCCCAGATCCTCCATGAAGCTCTACCAAAGAATTGAAATTGCCATTTTATTCCGTAAAGCAATCCTTCCAGTAAGTGTGTTGGCCACCTTTCTCTTCAGGAGGCTCTCCTTGCCTTGAGGAGTTCTCCCTTTTTGACTGAAAACGCTCAGATTCCCTCCGTTTTCCCTCAGGTCTGGCTATCGGCGACGTCCCAGACAAGCAGCCCATTGGTATCGTCCTCACGGTGCTCGGTGTCGTGGTGCTGGATTTCTGTGCTGATGCAACGGAGGGGCCAATTCGGGCCTACCTGTTGGATGTGGTAGACAGCGAAGAGCAAGATATGGCCCTTAACATCCATGCCTTTTCAGCTGGTAGGTAGCTCATCTACGTTTCTTCTGCAGCTGATGACCCAGTTGTGACTGAATTGATTTTCCCTGAACTCACTTTGCTTTTTTTTTCATTTTTTTTCTGTCTTTTGTCACTGTTGCTGTCTTACAAGTATTGAAGCTCATGACGCTCTCTATGTATGGGCTATTGACTATAGCATAGTAAAAAGAATTTGAAAAATAAAATCTTTAAAAAAAGGAAGGGTGCCAAGATCAGCTACCTTGGGAATAAAGTAACGCAAAATGATTATAAACTTTTTGATTAAAATTAGTGCTTTTCAGCACTTGGTGCTTTGTAGCCAGAGCAGGATAGTCCCTACCATGAAGTTTAGGCTAAATAGAAAAGCTTAACAGAGCGGTAGCAAACCAGGGAAAAGTCTTGATATCTCTGCTAAGCTTGATTTCTAGATATCAGCAGAGTGGGAATAATAGTGTAAGTTAACGATTTATCTTAGTATATCTGAAGGTAGGCTTAAATTTAACCTTTAAATGCTTAATGCTCTGCTCTGTTTTTCATTCCTAATATGCGCCCTTGAGGCATTGCATCTCTTTTGCTCTGAAACAGCTTCATTTTCGGTCCATATGTGCCAAAATCTGTTTCCCTCGTGAGCCCAACAGAGCAGCAGTCTGTCGAGGGGTCCCTTCTGCTCCTGCTGTTGATTTGCAGCCCTCTCATGCTCCCATGACACCAGCACAGGTTTAGATTGCTGCATTGTTCATCCTTTCTTAATACAACTTGGAAGTGTGGAGTTTCAGATCCTTGCAGTAACAGCCCCAGTAATCAATAAAATGCTCTTGTGCAAAGCTGTGTTTATTTAGTGTTTTTATTTTTTGGATACCTTCAGGAAACTCCTCTTCATCTTGGAGTTTATCTAAACCTGAAAACCCCAAAAGAGGGAGCCTTTCATTGAAATTTGATTGAGGTTCGCTGATTTAAGCTACTTTAATCCAGGAGTCCCATGAATACCACATTTTAGAGTCACCAGTGGCATCCCAGGGGCTGCTTAGCCTCCAGTCAGAGGACAGTACTTGTTATGAAACAAGAGATTTTTTTAATGATGAAAGAGGAAATATTCAACTTTCTGAGAGTCCATATTTTTGAATCTGAGTTAAGTGATGGTGGAAAGGAGACTTGTCTGTCAGGTCGAATGTTGTTTTTGCTATTTTGGGGTCTGTTATTTGATGAAACTCCTTTATCTCTCTGCAGGTCTTGGGGGAGCAATTGGTTACATGCTAGGAGGGCTGGACTGGACGCAGACCTTCTTGGGCAGTATATTTAAATCTCAAGAGCAAGTCCTTTTCTTCTTCGCAGCCATCATTTTCTCCGTCTCTGTTGCCCTCCACCTTTTTAGCATTGAAGAAGAGCAATACAACCCTCAGCAGGACAGGATTGATGACGAAGGGGACACACTTTCTAGCGTGAAATTCAGTGGTAGTCTCCCCCCTCTGAATCGACTGAATGTAATTAGTGAGGAAGAGCCATATGGAGCCTCCATGTTCCATGACGAGGTCCAGTCCGAGCATGATCTCAATATGGAGTTCCTCGAGGTGAACATCGTTAGGAGCAAGAGTGACTCTGTCCTGCACATGCCTGATGCTACGCTGGAAATTGAATCAGAGCTGCTTTTTCTGCATGACATCGAACCCTCCATTTTTCAGGATGCTTCCTACCCAAACACTCCCCACAACACCAGTCAAGAGCTCATGAAATCCAAACTCAACCGCCTGTCTGCTTTCCTCAGGGACAACGAGAAGGAGGAGGAGATGTTGCTTGATAATCACTTGAATGAAGACAAAGTCCCAAACGCCAACGGCTCCCTACCAAAAGAGTTCCTCAACGGACACGCTAGAATCGGCATGAAGCAGTCAAGCACTTCCAACTCCATGCGAAGGCGACGGCACATGTTCTACCGCCAGCCATCCTACACGTTCTCCTACTATGGCAAAATCGGCTCTCACCGCTACCGCTTCCGGCGCGCCAACGCCATCGTCCTGATCAAGTCGTCGCGCAGCATGAACGACATCTACGACATGCAGAAGCGGCAGCGGCAGAAGTGCCGCCACAGGAACCAGAGCGGCACCACCAACTCCAGCGGGGACACGGAGAGCGAGGAGGGCGAGACGGAGACCACCGTCCGCCTCCTGTGGTTGTCCATGCTCAAGATGCCCAAGGAGCTGCTGAGGCTCTGCGTCTGTCACCTCCTAACTTGGTTCTCGATCATTGCTGAGGCTGTGTTCTACACAGATTTCATGGGGCAGGTCATCTTTAAAGGTGACCCAAAGGTAAGGGAAGAGTTGTGTTCCCTTTGGCAGACCTGTGTTATAGTTCTTCATTTTAGAGATGTGGTGATCCAAAGACGATGACTTTGCTCTTGGTTTGGGATTTGTTTGCAGGCCCCTTCTAATTCAACCGAGTTACACGCCTATAATGCTGGAGTTCAGATGGGCTGCTGGGGACTGGTAATATATGCTGCTACTGCTGCTGTTTGTTCAGGTAAGAGAATCTGCACAACAGGACAGTGGAATGAACCTCATAAATATATTGCAAAATAAATCAGATGTATTGATTTGCTTTGTTAGCAGCCACCTGCATGTCTGGGGCAATGAATGCTTTGCAAATGTATCATTTCATGTGGTCATGAAATGCCCCTTTTAAGAATCAGCATGAAAAAAATGCCTTCGAATTCAGAGGTGGACATATGAAAAGGTCTGTTGAGTGGCATAGAACATAAAATCATTCCGAATGAATATGAGTGGTATTTAGCTCGCCATTCAGTACACTAGAATTATGCTTGATCCAAACAAACAAAAATCAAGCTTATGTAAGAGAGTTTTTAAAAGCAAAATTATGTATTTCTGAGGCAAGAAACTTAAAGTTCATGTCTTGCTTTCTAATAACAGCTAAACCAACTCTAAAATGCAGAGCTTTTGGCACACTTTCATCCTGCCTTTTGCAGACACCTGCAAGTGTGTTTCAGCAGATCAGCACCATGGGGACTGCCACTTTGGGAAATCAGTTCAAGTCAAAGTGCAGACCGACAGCTTGATTCAAAACACAAACCGAAACATGGCTGTAAAATTGAGTTGTCTAATCATTTCCTCTGGCAATTGTATGTGCATTAGAAACAGAATCCACTCTGTGGCCAGAGCCTAGAGCGTATCTGCATGGTTAAATTGATAAATAGATGGTATTAATTAGCACACTCTGAGTGGACTGGGTTAGAGGTGAGCCATGAAACACTGAGTTCTGTTCCAAATTCTGCCACGTCCCTGTGATGTGGCTCTGAGCAATCACAGAATCACAGAATAGTTGAGGTTGGAAGGGAGCTCTAGAGATCATCTAGTCCAACCCCCTGCTCCAGCAGGGACACCCAGAGCATGTGGCACAGGGTGGCATCCAGGCAGGTTAGAAGATCTCCAGAGAAGGAGACTCCACAACCTCTCTGGGCAGCCTGTTCCAGGGCTCTGGCACCTTCACAGGAAAGAAGTTCTTTCTCACATGGAGGTGGAGCTTCCTGGTTTTCAACTTGTACCTATTACCCCTTGTCCTGTCACTGGCCACCACAGTGAAGAGTTTGGCCCCATCCTCCCTGTGTTCACCCCTACACAGCACATGGAGCTGTCCCCGTTGCATTTGACCCTGAAACTTCCCCGTGCAGACTCATATTAACGTTTTGTTCTTGTTCTTTTCAGCCTTGTTGCAGAAATACTTGGACAACTATGACCTTAGCATAAAAGTAATCTACATCCTGGGCACGCTGGGTTTTTCTCTTGGCACTGCAGTGATGGCCATGTTCCCCAACGTGTACGTCACCATGATAATGATCAGCACCATGGGAATAGTCTCCATGAGCATCTCCTACTGCCCCTACGCGCTTCTGGGACAATATCACGATATTAAGCAGGTATGTGAAATATTTAGGGGCAGAGCAAGGCAGAGCATTCACGTTTCTCCAAAGAGCAAAGCAGCAGTGGATTTAGTACATCCAGTTATTTGAGATACCTGCTTGGGCGGGACACGTGCCAAGAACAGATGAGGGCTTATAGTGAACAGCAAGAGAGGCTACTTAGACAGAACTAGCATGAAGTTGGCTCATGGGGCCATCATTGCTTTACCCTGTGCTGTGGTGCAAAAAGATTTGAATGCATGTGAAATAATTATTGAAATATTTACTCTATGCACAGTTGTTGCTCCTGTTTCATGCCACATTAGAATTAAGATGGTTCTTAGCAGTTTTTTAGACATAGCAGTGAGTATAGAAATACACCTGTGGATTTGGCAAGTTATAAGGCAAACAGGTTCTCCTGGAAACAAGGGCAGCTTTACTTTTCAGGTTTCAGCACTCTCATATTTCAGTTACAAATCCATCAAGGAACAGTCATTCTGACATGTTTCTGCGTGGGCACTGGGAGGAGAGACCCTGTCAAGATCTCGGGAACAATTTGCACCAGTGATTTCACTGAGCTTTGTTTGCACAACCTGCTTTGGGGGCCAAGTTCAAGCTAGGAGTGAAAACTTCCCTCTAGGTGTAAATGAGGCTGTTGCTGCAGACATGTGTAGCCTGCACGATGCACAAGGTGGGCAGAAAGGCGGCCACATGGCCAAGGAATTTTGGGAAAATACTCATGCTCAAATATATGATTTTTTTTTCTTCGTTTTGTCTTCTAACACCCATTTCTTGTCTTTTCCAGTATATCCACCACAGCCCTGGGAACTCCAAGCGGGGCTTCGGCATCGACTGCGCCATCCTGTCGTGCCAGGTCTACATCTCGCAGATCCTCGTGGCCTCCGCGCTGGGCGGCGTCGTGGACGTCGTCGGCACCGTCCGCGTCATTCCCATGGTGGCTTCCGTGGGATCCTTCCTGGGGTTTTTGACAGCCACCTTCCTGGTGATCTACCCCGAAGTCAACGAAGAGCCAAAGGAGGAGCAGAAAGGCCTGGGCCCTCCGGAGAGCGACGCAGAGAAGCCGACGGTTCTGAAGCTCACGCGCAAAGCGGCCGCCGCGCCGGCGCCGGAGAGCGAATCCGCCGTGTGAGGCCGCCCTTCACACACATTCCAGGGAGTGCAGGTGCAGGAGCAGGAACCCTTTTCTTTCCAAGAGAACAAATTAGGATCTTCAGGACTCGTAGCTAAAATTGCAGAAAATTGCGGGCAGTTTCGTGCAAAAAAATGTAAATGAAATTCTGTAGTTCCATAATATAGGTTTGAACAGGTAGCTATGATGCTAATTGCTTTCTCTACAACTTAGAAATGCCATTTCTGAACACTTTTTTTATTAAGAATGCATTTAGAGTTCAAATAAGTTTTATTAATCTGCATGAGACTCACAGTGTATACAATTAGCAGTTAGAAAAATTAAGTTTTCGGCTGTTTTTAAACTTAACTGAAAATGGAAAGCTATCTCGACCTATAGTCTCTTGCTATTTTTGACTGACCATTTCAGATTTCACTAGTGCAGCACCTGAATCAAACGCTTAGACATCTCAATCAATCTTTTTTCATGAGCACGATGGTGTTGGTCTGACGGCTGCAGTTCTTTAATGTTGAGTTTAGACTTCCTATTTTTTTGTCAGTGCAATTGCTACAGAAAAGTTTCATTTGCAATCGTTTTTTACCAAGGCAAACAAAAGAATTCCTGCAGTTTCTGAGAAACTGCTGGGAATTTTCACTCATGCTGTTCAGCAACGACTCCCAAGGCTGCTGCTTGTCGGGACCGGGTAGCGCTGGGGTGACCTGGAGGTGGAAGGAGCTGGGAAGGCCGTCGGCGCCTGCAGGTCTGTGGAACAACGCGCTGGATTTCATGGATGTCGTTGGAACACGCTGGGACACTTCCCAGCTGAGGGTTTGGATGAACTTTGGGGGCTTTTCTCGGCTTTCGGAGCCATCGTGTCTGGATGAAGCCGTGACGGAGAAGGGCATCTCCGGGGCCACTTTCAGAGTGGGGCATAAGGAATCTCCGTAGTGGGGAAAGGAAATCGATGCTTAATTGCCCTTTTTACCATCTTTTTACTGTGGGAACGCGTCAAGATCCGTGTCGGAAACTGTTTTTAGGCCTTAAAATCTGCTCCAGTGGCACGTGCTGCCCTTCCCGGCAGCTCCCCGGAGCTGTTCTCCAATCCAGCCTTGGTCCGGGACGTAGCTCCTGCAAAAAGCCCTTTTTCCACAAAGAGCCTGACCGAGTGATGCGGCTCTGATTGAAAACATCCCTGGGGTCCCCAGGAGGGCCCCAGGAGCTCAGAGATCCAGCCCCTCTGGAAACCCGACTCCCGGCTGTTGTGTGAGAGCTGGTCCATGAGGATCCGAATGATCCAAAGCTCCTCTATGCACGGACTGACCGGCTGCAGCCAGCCCACCTGCTATCTCAACAGATCCCAGCTCCTTGCAAGATTTCTGCTGCCTCAACCTTCTCGTACTTGCAGGACTTTAAGATGCATGTGTAAATCATGCTGCAATATAGTCATTCAGAAGAAAAAAAAAATATATATATATATATTTCAAAATGAAAAGCCGTTTTTAATAAATTACTTGAATTGTCAATGTATTTAAGAAACATGTATGTTTTTGGTATGTTTGAAGTCAACGCGCAGTCCTGGCCGACGTCACCGATGAATTCCCGGTCTCCACACCGAAGGTTTTCCGTAGGGATTCCATTCCAGAGCTGTCAAGGGTGGCGATGTGGATTTCAGAGCACTAAAGTACACGTAGCCGCACGGGACTTGCTTATTTTTTCCCAAGCGTCTCAAGAAGGTCGTTTTTCTTTATGTTGAATATATTTTTCTATGTAGAACACATACTGTGAATTGTGTTCACACAGGGGCATAATACTACTGAAGAGCATCAGACCTTATTGAGGGAATCAGTCGTGAGAAATACTTTAGCTGAACTTCTGCAGTGAATTTTATCATCTCAGTTACATTTAATGTATTCCAGTGATATTCATATATATATATAAAACAGGAGCGAGTGTTGTATTTCACCTGGTAACTGGCATTCTTGTAAACTCTAAACTGAGTTAGACGTTTTAAAAGTGGCTTTAATATTTTATTTTTTGAAACCTTTTTGCCGCTCTGGCACTTGCGCCCCGGTCGGTTTTGGAGATTTGCCCTGCGGAAGCTGCTTTTCCCTTGGATTCGAGAGGTTTTTCCTTCTGGCCCCGTCACTTCTCAGGGTAGAGGCCCTCGCCTTATCTTTTGATGCAAAAAAACGCAAGGTTTCCTTTGGTTTCCATCACACCTAAGAAGTAAAGCGTGAGATTTCACATCTTCTTGCAGAAGCGGAGGAAAGTCAGAGCTGAGGATTTTGCTCCTGGGCACAGGAGGTATCGCCCCTCGTTTGCTGCTTTCAGGCCCCGCGCTGGAGCTGGATTTTTTCAGTGTTGTGTTCGATCGCGGCCCTGCAACAGGCAGGAAAAGTTGAGTTTCAGGAGCAGCGACCAGGAGGGAGAGCAGGAGAAGGGCCGCGCACCGCGGGGCCTTCCGCGTTGCTTCCTTGGTTGGTCCTTCAAGTTTTTCCGTCGTTTCCGTTTCGGCAAAGTCACCGGTTCCGCATCTACACCCGCTCCTAGGGTGATCGCTGGGGTTGCGAGGAGCGCGCGCCAGGCTGTGTGTACGTGCATGTATAGGTGTATTAATACACATATTTATGCATATATATACACAGTTGGGCCAAGATATCTTGCTGGCTTTGTGCTCTCCGTCACCGCACACCGTTTTTGATCCAGTTCTTCCAGTTTTTCCGTCATGGAGGGGGAGCTGGTTCCCATTGCGGCTCTTTCTCGTCACCTTTCGCAGGGCCAAGTGGCCAACACCAGATGCTGCCCAGGACTGCGGGTCACGGCTGTGTGCGAGAAATACCAAATCTGAAGATTTTTCTTTGCTCAAACTTTGTGGTTACAGATAGTCCTCTGGCCATAGGTTCTTCCTTAAACTACAAAGTTGAACGTTTGCAAAAATAAAAAAAACACGTGTTGAAAATGGTCATTTTTTTGAACGACAGGGGAGCTACTCACAGTCTCTCGTGTTGCATCCAGAAGCGGCGCGTGGCGACGTGGGGCTGCCCAAGGCCCACGTGAGGGTTTAGCTCAGAGGCCCCGGCAGCTCCGACCACGAGCGGCCTCCGCTCGGCCTCCCGAAACGCGGCTCCAGCCGGGCACCCCGCGGGGATGGCAGCCGTGGCAAATGAAGATGTTTCCAAGGCCTTTCCGAACCCGCGAAAAGTTTGGGAGCAAACGCGGTGAGTCGGTTCAGTTTGATGTGCGTTTTCTCCTGAAATCAGGAGGCTGTGGATGCATCTCCAGCCTCGTTTACCCAGGCCTTAGCTCAGTGCACCTAGTCAATACTCAGTAATAGCCAAAACACAGCTAAATTCCCAAAGCCAGAGACCTCCCCGCTTGCAAATCGGCAGTTCCCAACTTGGTTTTTCTTAATCTTTTCCGATGTAACATGAACACTAAAGCCCTTTCGGTAGCCAAATGACCAGCTTATCTTAAATGCCTCATATTAATAGAAAGCTGCATATAGGTATCTCATAGTGGAAAAAAATAGAAAAAAAAGAGAGAATATTTGGTTCCTTTGTGAACTGGCCATACGACAACTACTTTTTTATCAACTTATTAAGTTGGGGCACTATAATAGCTCTTGCTGAGTTTAGCAATGTTTATAAGCATGTGTTAAACACATACTGTTAAGTTTTATGAGGAAAAAGGGATAAAGAGAAGTCGTGTCACAGATGAATGTTTGAGTGAGTAGACAGCAAGATGTATGTATGTTTTTTTATTTCTACACTGTTGAGCTTATTTTCTGTTTTAAAGAGGAAAACTGAGAGATTTGTTGCATGAGAACTGTTTCATTGTGTTCTGCACTTTCTGTTCTTTTTGTATAAGCTTGATTTTATTTTTGGTTCATTTATGCATAGAGAAAAAAAAAAGAAGAAAAAAAAAACGAACTGGGTTTAGGAAGGCCCTGCTCCACGTTGCGTTGTTCCAATTCGCTGTTCTCCTGTTCGAGCTGAATAAACATTTCGGTCAGAGTTTGCGGCTGGTGTCACCGTGTTGATTTGTACGATTTGTCCCGTCGGGGACGCGGGTGTCACGTGAAGGTTTTGGGGGAAAACGGGTGGTTTTGGAGGAAAACAGGGAGTTTGGAGGGGCCTGGATCTCTAAGAGCCCTCCAGGCCCTCATGGTCTCTGCGGGTGCCTCCTGCTCACACAAAGGAGCCCAGAATGAAGCGGGACGGAGTTGGGGTGACCCCTCTCTGCATGTGTAGGTTCCCCTGCCCTGCTCAGCTCCGTCTTCCCCTTGGGGCTGGGGGAGGCTCTGGCTGTGAGGGGCAAAAGCCGATGGGGAGGCGGGAGGTCAAGGCCGCCCTGCGCCCTCTTCCTCTGCCAGACGTGTGGGATGTGCCAGGAAAACGTCCCTGGGACGCGCGAAGGGAAGCGGGAACCTCCGTGGAGCCGTCGGCCAGACGCAGAGGTGCCACGTCCGGCTCCACGATCGTCCGGCTCCAGGATCAGAGGAAAAGTGACTCACGCCGCGCGGAGCGGCCCCGGCTGCCGCGCTGGGAGCGAGTCCCAACAGCGGGCCCTGGGGAGCAGCGGGCACGGGCAGAAAGTGGCTCTTGGGGGCCGGTGGGGACACGCAGGGCCCCGCGCAGGCAGCGCCAGCCCTCGCACCGATGCTCACCGGTGCCCTGGAGGCCAACGCAGCCCGCGCCGGGTGGGAATGTCAGCGGCAAAAGGAGCCGTCCAAAATTCCCCTCGGACTGCATGGCACTGCCTGAAGCAGCAGCTGGAGCTGAGGGAGGCAGCCGGGTGCGCCCAGCTCAGGCTCCTCTCCCCAGGGCAGCTGCTCCAGCACCAGCACAGGGATATTTGGGCACAAGGGTTGCAGAAAGCTGCGTCATTCCGACCTCACTGAATAACACAGGCCCCTGTGGCCGTGTTCCCCCGGCCTGGGCCTGTCTGTGGCACTTACGCACCCCAGCCAGGCCCCTGCTGTGGAAGGAGGAACCTGAAAGTTACAGCTGAGGGGCCTGGCGAGGAGGGAGCAGCAGCAGCAGCAGGTTTAGGAAGAACAACTTGGA